GACCTGAGGTGAGTTGGGGTGGCAGGGGCCCTGCAGACGCGATAAGATAACAAGCACCAGCCACATCCCCGGTTCCTGGAACAACCCCGGCTCCGATAAAAAAGTTGCGTCGAGGGGAGACAAGGCAGGCACAGCACAGAAGCTTCTATTGCTGTCCAGGCACACACCGACCGAAGCTCCTTAAACCACCCCCATACACTACCTCCAAAACCCGCGATCCAACCACAACCGCTGGCAGTGAGGCGCAAAAATGGCTTCCATGTTCGAGCAGTCAGGGAGCGGCACGCTTTTCCTCGGTGGCCAGAAGATTTCCGGCGCCGACATTAGAGACCAGAACGGTATGTCAATATCCCACTCCCCCCCACCGGCCAAATCACAACGAAGCTTCATTTTGCTGACAAACTTGCAGTTCTCGCGACCCAAGCTATCGCAAATGTCGTCAAGAGCTCTTTCGGCCCCAGTGGTCTCGACAAGATGATGGTGGATGATATTGGTGTATGTTAGGTGGCCCCCCTCCCCCCTGGACCCCGCTCACCCCCCGGCGCAGGATGTCACGGTCACGAACGACGGCGCTACCATTCTCAGCTTGTTGGATGTCGAGCACCCGGCGGGCAAGATCTTGGTCGATCTGGCACAACAACAAGACAAGGAGGTCGGCGATGGCACAACCTCTGTTGTCCTCATCGCGGCCGAGTTGCTTCGCCGAGGAAACGAGCTCATGAAGAACCGCATACACCCCACTACTATCATCACCGGTTACCGACTTGCCCTGCGCGAGGCCGTCAAGTACATGAACGAGAACATCAGCATCAAGGTCGAGAACCTCGGACGCGAATCCCTCGTCAACATTGGCAAGACGTCCATGTCCAGCAAGATTATTGGAGCCGACTCTGATTTCTTCGCCAACATGGTCGTCGATGCCATGCTGGCAGTCAAGTCGACAAACGGTCGTAACGAGACGAAATACCCCGTCAAGGCCGTCAACATTCTCAAGGCACACGGCAAGGGCTCCCTCGAGTCCCAGCTGATCAAGGGTTACGCTCTGAACTGCACAGTCGCCTCGCAGGCCATGCCGACAAGAATACAAGATGCCAAGATTGCGGTGTTGGATATGAACCTGCAAAAGGAGCGCATGAAGTTGGGTGTCCAGATCACGGTGGATGACCCTCAACAGTTGGAGCAGATTCGCCAGCGAGAGTCGGGCATGATCCTGGAGAGAGTAGAGATGATCCTCAAGGCGGGTGCCAATGTCATCCTTACCACCAAGGGTATCGATGACATGGTTCTCAAGACCTTTGTCGAGAAGGGTGCCATGGGTGTTCGCAGGTGCAAGAAGGAGGACCTCCGCAGAATCGCCAAGGCGACGGGCGCTACTATGCTCAGCACACTGTCGGACCTCAACGGTGACGAGAAGTTCGAACCCTCATACCTCGGACACGCCGAGGAGGTTGTTCAGGAGCGCATTTCCGACGACGAGTGCATCCTTGTCAAGGGCACTAAGAGCCACTCCTCAGCATCCATCATTCTCCGCGGACCCAACGACTTCACCCTGGACGAGATGGAGCGGTCCATCCACGATTCCCTCAACGCCGTCAAGAGGACGCTCGAGAGCGGCAGCATCGTTCCCGGCGGTGGTTCCGTCGAGACAGCCCTCCACATTTACCTTGAGGAGTTTGCTGGCACCGTCGGCTCCCGCGAGCAGTTGGCCATTGGCGAGTTCGCCCAGTCGCTTCTTGTCATTCCCAAGACTCTGGCCGTCAACGCCGCCAAGGACGCATCAGAGCTTGTCGCCCAGCTGCGTTCCCGGCACGCGCTGTCTCAGCGCATCCAGGAGGGGGAGGCCAACGATGACGAGAAGACGGTCGCGCGCAAAAAGGCCTACAAGAACTACGGTCTCGATCTGGTGCGCGGCAAGGTGATTGACGAGATCAAGGCCGGTGTCCTGGAGCCCACTATCAGCAAGATCAGGCAGCTGAAGAGTGCCGTGGAGGCCTGCATCAGCATCATGCGTATTGATACCCTGATCAAGTTGGACCCCGAGCAGCAGGCCGAGGACGACGGACACGGTCACTGAGGAACGTGAGTGATGATTGGAAAAAAGAATTAAAAGCAAAAATGGGCTGATTGCGGGAGTGTTCAAGGTTAGACGGTTCATAGATGACTTTGCTAATGATACCTCGTCATGCCGGCCTGGATGTCCAGACCTGTGAATATTTTTGAAGTTCCTATTGAATCAACATGTTGCCACTTGTATGAGCCTGCTAATGATATGCAAAATATGTGACCAATCGGTCAGCACCAGCCAAACTTCTCATTGAGCACCCACTCAACCTCTCCTTGGCCATACCACATGAGGCTGGCGATGCTATCATTCTCCCTCTCAATAAACTCATGCGGAATGCCCGCCTTCTCGATCAGCCCCCTCACCCGGGGCTCAGGATTCCACATCTCGACACCGTTCACCTTCCACTCCGACGCCTGCGCCCTCGCCAATCTAAGGAGTGCCTCAATAGCCCCCTGCACATACTCATCTCCGCTCCCTTGCTCGTCCTCAATCGCCAGCCGCAGGATATGCATCGTGTTCCCCTCAGGCTTCTTTAATCCGCCGTAGTAACCCCTTGTCCAGACGGCCCATACCCGCGACCCGTGCTCGCCTACGACCCCGCCACGGACCGTGGGCGTCTGGCCAAAGATGTGCTTGGTCATGTAGTCCTCGCGCATGAGATGCCAGAGCATGGCGTCCAGGTCAGGGATGAGCGAGACGCGGGTCTTGGTGCTCTTCTTCGCGAGCTTCGCGCGAATGAGGCCCTCGTCGACGGAGCACAGCTCTGCCAGTTCGTGATACCCCAACGGCGAGGCCTCAACTTGCACCGCTCCCACCGCTCCCTCTCCCGCTTCCGAGGGCGGCGGCGATGCCTGCGGCGGGAACTCGAGGTGCGTGCTCTCGTACGGATGCCACCCGTGCTTTGCATAAAACTTCTTCCCGATATCAGAATACAGCACCGAGCACGCGACCTCCCCGTCCCGGATATCCCCCCACCGCTCACCGCTCTTCATCTCGGCGCCCTGCCAGCGCGCGAGCTGCGCGCCCACGAGGTTCATCATGACGGAGGCGTACCCGTTGCCGCGGTACGCCGGGTCCGTGAAGACGGAGCCGACGGCGTGGGTGATTGCGTCGACGACGGTGCCGTCCGGCTTCGCGACGAGGACGGTCTTGCGGATGCTCTCGCAGGACGAGAGGATGGGGCGGGCGTCGGGGGGCAGGGTCGGGTCGGTGAGGATCCATTGGGTGATGCCGCCGTTGCGGGAGACGGGGACGGTGGTCATGTAGGATTCGCGGCGGATGTACTCTTGGAGCTCGAGGGCGGCGCCCCAGTTTGCGTAGGTTGAGGTGTAGGTCTTTAGGCGCTCTGCTGGGGTTGGTTGGGTGAGGACCAGGTCTGTTTCGTGGGTTGAGCCCATGATGCCTGTCGTCTCTCTTCTTGATTTTTGGGATTGCCTCGGTGTGGTTTTGTGTCGATTTGTCTCTTTTTCTTCTTGTCTACGGGGCCGAGGTAGGCAAGACAGCTTCTGGGTGTATTATGGTGGGTGGTGTCTTGTTTGTTTCTGGTCAATCACGTCACACCACTCATGAACAAACATGAGAGAGGCAGAAGCAGGCAAGGTAGTTGGAGAATGTGAAAATGGGAGGAAGAGAGTCAGATTCAGCTTCCAGAAGCTGGGGTCGGGAATGGATAAAGTACAAAAGGGACAAAGCGCCGTCTCCTTATCAATTCGGTTCGTGTTCCAGACGGCTTCAGGAAGTACCTTGAGTTTGGCTTGTACTGGCGCGGGCGTTGCGCACAAGACGTGCCCCACCAGACGATGGGAAGCGTTGGCGGGGAAGACCCAGTCAAACCCCAGGTATTCCAGGATCACAGCGCCTCGTTCGAAAGATGTGAGATACGGTACGGATTGGAGGGGGCGTGAGGTCAAGAGCAAGGGGGCTGGATTGGCAAAGACGGCCTAGTGTGAGAGTGAGCTGATGTACAGATAGCCTCGATCGATACACAACGAGCATCCAAAAGCACAAAAAGGACTTCGAAGCCCCCTCTTCTTCCTCTCGTCTTTCCCCTCCGTCTCACCAGGCGCACAGGAATCAGGATACCAAAGATGGTCAGCAGGTCCACAATGCGAAGCGGCTCATTGTGGTAAAAGCCAAGTCTTACGTCACGGGGTAGCGTCTTAGCGGATGTGCTGTGAAGGTGATACAACTGTTGAGAAGTACGGACGAAGGATAGTCGAGGATTAGGGAAATGTACCAGGGAAATCTGGGACACATTTTTAGGTAATTGTTTGTGGCTACGTGCCTATTTAGTCTTCCGCCTGGGCCGGGGAGTGCGCAACGGGCAGGTCTCGCCGGCGGGGTGAAGCAGTCACGGAGGCCGGTGGAAGCCGATGGTAGGCGGGGCCGGAATTGCCCCGGTTGAACGCGGCCGAGACGCCCGCACCTTCCTTTTACCATTTACTAAGTGAACTGTAGATACTTATGCTACATAGTATACTACGACACCGCTAGGGTTGTGAACCGGCTCAGGGCGAGGGATTCCCTTGTCTTGGGAGAGTCGGCTGACTTGGCTGATGTTCTGACAGATGGGTTGTGCGGCCTGTGTCATTGTGGGAAAGTTTGGTGTGTGAGGTGTGAGGTGTATGGTGTTGGTTGCGGTGTTCATGCGCCACCAATGATTGCAGTTTAGTACACAGTAGGCACCCAGCCAGAAGAGTTCCCTTTTCTCTTTTTTTGGGCCACGTTGCAGTCTGATTTGTCCATCTCTCGATCTCTTGCAGAGACTCTGATGTTGTATCTTGTTCCTCTCACAACTCATATCTTCCAATTGACCGGCATCAGCTTCTCATCCTGAACACCCGTATCTTTAGAACATGGCCTTATCTCCCAATCCACGCTCTTAATTAACCTGTATGCACAATAGTTCCTCCCACCGGTGCTCGACATGATAAACTCAACCAAACAAAGTCACCCCTCCACCTTCCAATCCCGTCGCCCCCCTGCTCCGTAACAACCTCACAACCTCACCATGCCCCCTTGCAGCAGCGCACTGCAACGCAGTCTGCCCTCTACCCCCCCATCCAGCCCCAGCCCCAGCCTCGATCTCGGCCCCGGCGCCCAGCAGCGTCTCGCACACCCGCACGTGGCCCCCCTCAGCAGCAGCATGCAGCGCCCTCCCCCCCTTGAACCTGCTCCCTTCGGCGTTGACATCCGCCCCCGCACCTGCAGCGCCTGCAGCTGGCCCCGCCGTAAGGAGCAGCTCGACAAGCCCCGCCCCTCCGCCGTAGCTCGCCGCCTGCAGCGCCGTGAACCCTCGATTCCGACACGCCGGCGCGTTCACCTCTGCCCCCCGCCGCTGAATCAGCATCGCTGCCATCTCCTCGAACCCGCCCTCGCACGCTGCCTGGAGCGCCGTCCGACCTGCCGTCGACGCCGGCGGCGCGTTCACGTCCGCGCCGTGGTCTAGCAGCAGCGCGACGGTGTCGTCTAGCCCCGCGGCACAAGCGCTCTGCAGCGCCGTCATGCCAAAGTACCGCGACGCGGGGACATTGACCTCGGCGCCGTGGGATAGCAGGAGTTTGACGATGGCCAGGTCCGGTTTCCCTGCCGCGATCTGCAGCGCGTTCTTGGCGCCGTTGTTGCCGGGCGTGTCGTTGACTTCCGCGCCGGCTGCGAGGAGCGCCGAGACCACGGCGCCGTGGGAGGCTTCGCAGGCGGCTTGGAGGGCTGTGCGGCCGTAGTAGCCCCGCGGCGGGGCGTTGACGTCTGCTCCTGAGGCGAGGGCTGCGTGGACGGCGGCGAGGTCGCCTTCGCGGGCGGCGACTTGGAGGGGGGTCCAGCAGTCGTCTTCGTCTTGGGAGTCGGTGTCTTCTGTGGGATGCTGCATTTCTGCGGTGATGTCCTTCACTCTATACCTAGCAGGTAGACTAGCTCTCCCCGATTAAGCTGGTGAGGCTGCGGGAAATTGAAGAGAAGCAAGAAGAGTGAGCTCTGTGGGCGAGGGAATCCTTCGACATCTCACCTTCCCCATCAGATAGCTTACGGAAATGCGGCACAATCACGCCCTTCCGCTCATGTCATCGTCAAAAACAGCGATGAACAGCAACCTCTTCAGCATCACTGAATCAAAAGAAATCGACCAAAATAAAAGCTTGCGAAACATCAACGGTGGCTCACATTAATAAACACTATGAAAATGTTGACTAACTAGTCATCAGTCTCAGCCTTCTTCTTGCTCTCACTCTTCTTCTCGGGTTCGCCCTTTTTCGGCTCATTCTTGGACCCCGCCTCGTTCTCATAGCCGCCTCCCTGCTTCTCATATTCCTTTGCTAATTTCGCGCCCTGAGGAATCAGTCAGTTGAACGCTCAAGCCGAAAGTACGGTCAAACCTAGAGCCATGAGGGTTGAGAAAGAGGGGTGATGTACCTTCCACGCGGCCCATTGTCCCTCTCCTCCGCCCGACTTATTAGGTTCTTGCTTGATTTCTGGTCATGGTGTGAGTATTGGCAACTTTCCATGAACTTCTCTCATCCGCTCATACCTTCCTTGATCTCCTCTCTCAACTCAGGGTCAGTGGGCTTTCCCTTGGATGAAGGCATCTTGTGTGATGAGTATGACAGAAATCTCCGAGCCGGGTACAAGTATGAAAGTGAGGTAGTATCACGTAAAACTGGGTAGGATTTCGAGTAAGCAGGAGTGCATGTGCGAGTAAAAGCCTGAAGCATTTCCAACTTTAAATGATATTGAAACTCAATAGCACTTTGAGAACCATGCGAAACAGGGATGAACTAGATGATGCTGCGAACAACCATCGATGACGCCTACAACGCCAGCCACCCGTACGCTCGGTCGGCCCCGTTAGCGGGATCGGGCGACCCACACATAACCTCACGTCCGCGCCGTCCCGAATACTTAACCAAGATTTGCTGTTCCCACCTAAGTACGTATCCCAGGCATACAACTAAAGCTGTTGAGATATTAGTTAGAAGTTCGACGATGGCTTTCTCTCCTATCATTCTCGACGGTACAGTTGTTCAAAGTGCCTCATCAACAATGCAAAAGCTGCCGAGACTGGGATCGTCTTGACTCTATCAAGCGACTTTATGTTTTCGGACTTGCATATTGGAGCTTGTAGCTGATTTCGTTTGACATATCTACTTTAAAACATGTATTGTTGCCTCTGTGATAATCCTTCAAACGCGAGCAATACAAAATATATTGTCTAACGCCTGGACGATGATCGTTTACAGTGACTGAGGCATTACTAGCGTGCCTGGGGTGATTGAATTATTTAGAGTACAGGTACAAGGTCTTGACCGTTCGATGGTGTCAAACCATCACTTCGGGCCATATCTTAGCGTATGATGCCAAAGGGTTAATGACTCCTTCGTAAATCGACTCTCTAAACCGTACGTCTGAGAATACCGGCCTTGGGCCAAATGAACAGTCTAGACAACGCCTAACAACATCCGCAATATTCGGTCCACTTTCACCTAGCACCTTCTTCGCCCAACGCTGGGCAGTAAGCATATCTGTGAGCTCATTAGGTCTGTTGTCCTGGAGATAATCTTTTCGGAAGCGGCAATGGCTGATGTCATGCCCAAATATCAACTCCAAAACTATTACGCCGACAGTAAACAGGTAGTTGCGGGCTGCCTGTTCCGAAATGTTCTTGGTTAACATCGATTCTTCGGAGGGCGAGCTCTCTTCCTTGTCGAGCTCAAATGTGTTTGACAAAAATGGATGGCAGCTCAAGAGCGTCTCATCGTCAACAAGGAAGTAGAAGCTGCTCTTCGTCCAGGAAGAAGGCATCCAAGGCGAGGGGTACGTGTTGAGTAGGGCCGCCGAGATATGGGCTGCTATCTCGAACCGTGACTGCCTCGAAAGGGTTATGTCCGCTTGGTGGTGTGCTTCTAGCAACTCGGTGAGAGACAAAAGCCTCAATTTGCCGGGAACGACACGTCGTAAGTCTGATGAATCTTTATTGAAGACGAGGTGCCTGTCGAATTCGTCATGCAGCACGCCCTCGTTCCATGATGTCTCCTCCAAAAAGGCGCAAAGGTTTTCGATTTTCTGCCTGCTGGACCGTTCGTCATTAGTCCGACAGGGAAGGGAAACCCCGCCATTCTTCATAGCAGCTTCGTTTTCGGACGGTGTGATACATATAGCTGGACTTGGCTCCAAAAACTTGACATTCTTCGTGGGGGTTGATTGGTTTGAGCCAGTAGTTGCAGCCGGTTTAGGTTGAAATCTGTGAGAAACCCTATCAAGGAATGACGGCCTCGATTTGATATATTGTGTCTTTTGCTCCGTAATGCTTTGGATGTGAGATAAAGTCGCCGATCCATGAACAGCTCTGATGTCTGTCGATGTTGTTGGGTTCCGGTCTTTAGTATTTTGAATCATTACCTCATACGCCTTGGGCTTAAGTGAGGAATCCGTGTTGTCCCCAGTTCCCCAAACGAGAACCATGGACAACGTCTCTGGAGAAGAGTCGCCGCATAATCTCAAGTGTGCTTTGTGGCAATTGCAACCTTGATGGCATCTCCAGTGATCTCTCAGTGTTTCATACACCCGGCAAGCGTGTTGTCGAGCGCTCTCCAGACGGCGTACTGGGCTGGAACTCTTTCTCCGATCAGATATCGGCAGAGTGCGCTCACTGAATCCCACCATATCTCGCAGGGTCTGGTTGAGTTGATCAAGCTTTTGCACCTTTCTATGTTTGCCTTTGGATAAGCTCAACTGCAGCCGCTTGCAATACCACTGCATTGGGTTGTGTTGTGCCGTTCCTAGCCAAGGAGCCTGTTCAACGAGGGATCAGTCACAACTATAGAGCTAACGGAATTTGGAAAGAATAACCTTTCCATCTTGAATTTGAAGAATCTTATAGAGCTCCAACATCACCTCGTGCATCCTCTCGATGGTTCGAAGGAAGCGGTCCAGCTCACTTGGGAAACGGTCCTTCAAATGGTCCTCAAGGCTACCGTCCTTCCATCGCACATCGGTGGGGTCTCCTATCAAGGTCATAAGACTCTCATTTTCAGGAATGATAGGGTCGAGAAGTCGAATGAGATTATCATGATATTTCATTCTTTGGTGCCTGATATCGTCGACAAAGTGGATGAAATAATCTCGGAAGTGCCACCAATTGTCCATCGGCTCAAGGGCTGTGTGATAATAATCTATGCAGTTGAGAAGAATTGGGAAGCCACCTAGAACAGCGCCAGCAATCTCGAATCCTGACATGGCGGCGATAAGTGTGCGCTTCTCGCGACAATCATTCCCGTTGGTCACAGGCTTTCAAAACGAGTGGCATCGTAACACTGAGAGATTTATCTTCAATCATCTACTGCGGGGTAATCTGAGTCATCATAAGGCTCTGGAAATGAATACCGAGGAAACGTTGGTCTGGACAAATCAGAATGAAGATGTGCATGGAATCTTGCATACGCGCCCTGATGCACGTTGGTTCCCCTGACTACTCCGGTCCCAACGAAAAGCCCCCTCATGACCTCAATCAACCTTCAATCGTTTCGCAAGTAACGTCTTGAGAACTTAGATCAGTCGGGAAGATTACGAAACTCGAACGCGATTTTGAGAATGGCGGGCCCTGAGATTTCCCAAGCCGCACGCCGCTGCCACGATAGTCTCTCGAGTCTTGCCCAGGAGTTCGAAACGAGCAGAAACACATGGGAGCATGAACTCACAGAAAGAGACTTCGCGCAACTGCTTGAAAGATTCGAGCAATGGGCTGGGAACCTGGGCGCTCTTCGACAGCCGAGCTCCAAGCTATCGCTCGACCATCGCCTACGCGATAGTCTCACAGTCAGAGCCTCCATTTTCAGCATGCTTGAGGACCTGAACGAGTCTGCCAAAATGGGTACGTTCCAGCTTTGTTGTCGTTTCTCAAATGCTAATGCGTGATTTGTAGCTACAGAGATCGTCTCGGGCCGTCGACCTAACAGAGTTATGCCGAAATTGGACATTACTGAGGAAGAACTGGAGGAATTCGATATTTCCTCCAGCAGTTCTGAGTCAGGCGCATCTAATACTTCAAACGGCACTCGGGATAGTCGACACGACAAACCCTCAGAGATACAGAAGCTTCTATCAGCAATCAGGACAAGCCTCAACAGCCTATTCAAAGCTTCTGTGTTCATTCGCAAATTCGCGCCCGAGGACAGACGCCAACGAGCCTCCAGAACGAAGCCTTTCGTAAATACTGCAGATTTGATGTATATCAAAGATAAGTACAGTCTCCTTTGGGAAACCAACGAACCTTTGGCAATACGTCTAGCGGAGGCAAACGCTCGGCGAAGACAATACTTCAGATACCGTCAGCAACATCAAGAAAAGTTGTCTTCCCAGCTAGACGAAAGTCTCATTGGAAGAAGACACGCCCACTTATCGACCGAGCCCAAGCCACTTGACGGAGAACCCCTACGACAAGGGTCAATCGTGTCTGGTTTATCCAAGCCCAGCATTCTAGCGGAGACTGAAGCAACAGAATTTGTGAGAAACAAAGCGTCAGAGGCTCAATTCTTCGCGCTCTCAAGCCCAGAGCCTGCTTTGTCGGTCTTCTCGATGGCGACCACAGTTGTGGAAGCTTCTGATACAGAGCTTCAATTTCCGCCGATACCCGATGAGGGGCAGAAGAGTGATTCGTTCTTGTGTCCATACTGCTTAGAAGTTGTTCTCTGGCAAACGAAAAACAAAGAAGTGCAATGGCGGCAAGTGCACGGAGCCCGATCCGTTAAAATCGTTACTGATGTTCAAATAGAAAACACATTATCCATGACTTGGAGCCATACCTGTGTCTTGACCAAAACTGTACCTTGGATACCTTCAATTCGGCCCATACCTGGTTTGAGCACGAGCTATTGGCCCATCGTACGATTTGGGAATGTCCATTGTGCGCCAACACGGTTCAAAACTCCGAGGATATGCAAAAACACATGCATAACTGTCATGAAAGCGATGTAGTGGCCAGTCAACTTTCGTCGCTTATTAGCCAATGCAAGCGACCAGCGAGGCAAATTTTGGCCAGCGATTGCCCATTCTGTGACGAGGAGTGGGCTATCGCCGAGCCGCATGCCGAGTCGCTTACGCAGACTGACATTGAGGACGAAATTGAGAATGCTGACGTTTATGTCGATGCAGATTCATTTCGAAAACATGTTGGTCATCATCTTGTACAGCTTTCTCTTTTTTCTCTCCCACGACTTTACCTAGGCGAAGTCGAAGGTTTGAACAGTGCAGGCGCTGTCCCTGACGGTGAGAGATATTCCCAAGAGAATAACCCGTTTCGACTAGGCCAAGATCGTCCATCGCGCGGGTGGCAAGTCCTGATCAAGAGAATGGGCACCCTGGCTGTTATCTCCTTATTTCTCGGTCTACATCACAAGCAAAGGCGTGGCAATGTTTACCCCGATGAGTTGGCTTTCGTCACCTTCGAGTCATTACCGCCCAGCCACAAAGACAAAGGAGATGGATGGTTCATTGTCCACAACCCTACCATCCCGAAGATGTTTGACCTCACTCTCCTACACACGGCTGAATTGGATCACGCAATTGCCAATGTGTGTTTTAGTCTGCAAGGACATTACGTCGGAATATGCAGCAATCATATGTTTCAAGTTCTCAATATTGGAACCGAAGAAGTCGTCTGCAGCCTGCACTCTGAAGACATAAGAGAGCTGAGCATTAAGGGTGATGATTGGTATACGTATTACTGGGACGCCTGTTTCCATCCGAACGACAATTTCTTCATTACGTGCTCAGACGACAGACTGATCCGGGTTAGTCCGTTCGAACGTCCATAAGTGCGCCTTCCCCATCACGACGCTTATCTAACGCCTTATAGGTACTTGACATTGAGTCAAGAAGTGTCATCCAAACACTTGGCGGGCATGGAAAAAGGGTCTACAAGGTAGAAATTTCAAAAAATGGCAAGATTCTTGCTTCTGGGAGTGTAGATTGTACGGTTCGACTCTGGAGCACCACTACCTGGGAATGTCTACACATTCTTGAATTATCAGGGAGTGTGACAGGGGTAGCATTCTCAAACCAAAGTGACTTTCTCGTTGCTTCCGCTCTCGGAGACTTCGCGCGAGTATGGAAAACGGACACGGTAATAAACGTTGAAGAACCTTTTGAACAAGGCCAGACCCAAGCCAACACTTGGACGTGCTACGGCCATTCGGACCCTATCTATGACGTTAGATTCTCTTCTGACGACAGATACGTGATTACAGCATCGTCGGATCAATCTGCCAAGACTTTTCCGGCTGTAAGCCAACAATGCGACGACTCGTCAAAATCCCTGAAGTGTCTCAACACATTAGAGGGCCACTCGGTATGTTAAACCGTTGGCATTCGACTTGATTGGAAATTGACCACGTATTTAGGACATTGTATTTGGCGTAGAAGTTATGTCCAATGGATGGGTTGTGACTGCCAGCAAGGATAGGAGCGTACGATTCTGGGACATAGAAACGGGCAGATCAATTGCCAGACTGACCGCGCATAGCGACGCGGTCATCGCAACGGCTATAGGACCGAGCACGGCGACTGGCTTTATGTTTGCTACTGCTTCGAGTGATTACAAATGGCGCTTATGGTCTCTTTCTCTCACTAGACCTGTCGCCTCAATGTTACCAGGTTAAACTTGGACAGGCCTAGAGTATGACGTTCTTGGATGATTTTCTCCAATGCACCATTATGCTGTCATCTATAAACCAGTCTTGTTGAATATGGGCCATTTCTTGAAACAAAATCATTCGTAGCTATTACTCAAACTACAGTTTGCCAACACCATGACCCATCAGACAAACAGTCCAGGATTCAGCGATGCGGCGATTATATCGAAGTGTCATTCCACCAATCTGTCTACGTCACTTCAACTATTTCATAGTTTTGTTTGTTTATGCACGCAAAAATACAGATAGTTGGTGCTTGCTGTCCTCTGTTCCATTTTGTAACACATTGTCCTGGACAGACCAGGCAGGAACGACGTTAATGAGAACTTGCAACAGATGATTTCCCTATGCCAGACGATCACTGTTAATTTTAGCGGGACACCAGATCATGAGTCTGTAAGAATATTCTGTTCATATTATTAGGAAGGTTTCGAGGGCTGGAGGCTAATCCTTCGGCAATGTTTAACACAAGCTTGCATATGACATCACGAGGATGAGAACTCGTTGAGACGTATACAGCATGTGCTGTCGCATCTACACTCCCTTCCATTAGCCCATGTCATCTCCCCGAAATGCCGCACCATATGGCTTGAAACTTACTTGTCATGCCTCCTGCACACCTGGACCCAAGTGATTCTTCTCGAAGCCAAGTAAAGCGTTCAGCTGCCGTTGAGTGTCAGTGCCGTTCTACGGGGGCGCTGAGTAGACATGTACCATTTTAGAGCCCGGACGCTCACCAACATTTTCGATGGTCACTGTGATGAGCCCCTCAACTTTGTCATCCTTTGTGTTTTGATAGCCTGCCAAAGAGTATTGGAAAATTACGGACGTTGCGGACAAATTTCCAGTAGACGGCTGAGCCTTACGTAGCCTAAACATATTCCAGTACAACAAATAAGTTTGAGCAAAATATGCTGATTTTCATGTGCTTTTCAGTATGTTCAGCTTTAATATACTGTATGCCTCAAGTTTTCCGGGATGAGTCCCTGCCGAGGCCATCAAGGTATCACTCATGACGGGAAAAGATTACGTACAAATGGTGAGGTCTTCACCTCAAGCTACTGCTTCTTTTCTCCTACCAAGTTGTTTCATAGCATCTATGTACGGCATTATACCAATTCCCCAAGTCCCTTTCCTGTTTCCGAGTCCGAGCCCCCTTTGTACCATCATGAAGCCCACCACCAGCAACCATCATAATCGATCCTTACATCCCTCTCAATGAATGGAAACAGCCGCAAACTCCTCAATCCCTTCAACAGCCTCCCCGTCCATGATACCATACACGTACGCCGCACCCACAATCCTCCTCATCCCCTCCCTCTCACCACTCTTCCTCAACACGAACGGCGCGTTGCACCCCTTCATAACCCACACCTCGTCGCCCGCCTCGCTCCCCTCCGGCACCATGGCAACATACTTGCCGCCCTTGGCCAACACCAAATCCAGCGCCGCACGCATCGGGAAGATGCGGTTAATCAGCACCTGCGCCGCTGCCTCCAGAGCCTCGTTGGCTTCCTGCGCGGTGCAGCCGGACATCATGATCTCCTTTCGCAGGATATCCCGCTCCGGCCGCGCGGCGTCGAGGTCGTCCTCCTCAACGGCGGTGCAGAAGCGCCACGCCAGCTTCAGCGTCGTGGCCGGGATCTCGTCCTCTTCGCTTCCCTCTCCCTCCGTGCGGAAGAAAGTCAGCGCGCGGAGGATGGCCTCGAGGCCGGTCTCGCCTGTCGGGTACTTTGAGTCCTCGAAGCCGGGGATGTTGGACAGCAATTGCGAGAGCGTCACCATGTCGCGCTTCACCCACAGGGACGGGTGATCAGCATGCAAATGCGCCGCGCGTGGGACGCCGCTCATGTGCTCAATTGTGTCGACCTTGATACCCTTGAGAAGCAACTCGTCCTCCTCGGCATTCGGATCGAACCCGAAATCAAAGTCTGTCTCGCCCGCGGCCTCGGACTCAGCTGCGTCCGCGACCGTCATGCGCCGCCAGGGTCGACGGAAGTCAGGCAGCCAAGAAGGGAAGTTCGCCGTCGCGCCGTTGTGCTTCTCGGCGATGCCGGCGTGGTCGAGGAGTTCTTCGCTGAAGGGCTCGTGGAGCAGGGTGCGGCCGAAGCGGAGGGCCGTCTGCTCAAAGGTGGCGGAGTAATCCGGGCGGAACTCTTCTCTGTCGCCGTCGAGGGCGAGACCAAGGAGCGCGAAGTAGAGGTCGCGCGGGTCCGTTGCGTCGACTTCGCGGAAAGACATGAGGAGGTTGAGGAGGTCTGTTGAGCGCTTCCCGCCGTCGTCTTCGTCGTCATCTTCTGATTCCCATTCGCCTTCGTCGCCATCGGCTCCCTCTTCGTGGTCGTGGTCGTGGTCGTGGTCGCAGTCATCGCCGTGTTCATGGCCATGATCGTGATCGTGGTGGTCATCATCATCATGTCCATCACCACCACAACATCCACCACCATGCTCGTGCCCCCCCTCATGCTCATGAGACCTTGTGTTTCCCCTCATAGCACCAAGCTGATAAAACCGTAACCTCTGCGCCATATTCGCCATCAACTCCGCCGCGCTCTCAATCTCCTCCCCCTTGGCATCCACCAACGGCCAGGGCGGGTTCTCCGGCTCCTCGAGCGCAATCGTTCCAGGCCACAGCTGCGACCAGTTCACCGTCTTCTCACCACACATCATCATCACGTCCCGTGCCAGGATAAACTCCTGCACGATCCATACCCTGCGGAACCAAGCGCGGTTCCAGAACCGCGAGACGCTCAACCACTTGTCGGCGCCTACCGGAGGCAGCTCCGCACCAGCACCAGTCGGCGCATCGGGGATCGGTGCACCTAAAAGGTCCTCTGCGAATGCGCGCGCGCCGGCGTTCAGCGGATCGGGGATGTGGACGCGCCAGTACCGCTCGATAAGCTCCATTGCCTCGCTGCTGCCGTCGGCTTCTTCACCGAGGTAGGCGAGCACCCTCTGCGCGCTGAGATAGATGTCGTGCATGAGCATGATCTGCGTCTCCTTCTCCTTGCCGTCGGCTTGGTTGATGCACAGCGCATCCGCCCAGACGAGGCGGGTTCGGTCTTCGAGGCGCACGCGCTTCAGGCAGAGGTACAGGCTTTCCGTGATGGGAATCTTTGCGCCGGCAGAGGTGGTGATGTGGTGGGGTTTCTCGTTGGAACCCCAGACGTAGGAGATGGCTTCATATGAGTCGGCTGATTCGGGCAGCTCGTGCTCGTGTTTGCTTGCCTCTTCGACGTAGCTGTCGATGGGGCGGGTGATGAGATCGCCTTGGAGGGCGTCGTCGAAGCGGCCTGCTGCAAGGGAGAGGAGGCGGAAGTCCCGCTCCCCGAGGGGAGTGTATTTATACTCGGACATCATGAAGCAGGGGGGCGCAAATTTGTGACGCGCTCTCTTTCTTCAAGTTTGGTGAGTACGAATGTGTGGGTGTTGAAATACAAAGTTTTGGTGGTGACTTGGTGAATGAGAAAAAATCAGAGTTTGGCGGCGTTTTTGGGGATTGTGGAGTGAGATTGGAGCTGAGATCCAGGAAAACGCCTGCATGAAAATGTCCACATCTGAAAGATTGGATTCTCATTGGCAGCGACCGCTGATCCAGGAACCACGATCGAGAATGGGTTTTAATTTGGCATTGTTGCTTTGCACTGACACATGAATTTGGCGAATTTCATTACAATAATGGCGCTCTTCAAGCTTGACTACAGCTTTATCACTCTCCAGCTAGAACGGTTGAACTTGAAATCAACTTCTTGGCTTCACATTCTCGAGTATTAGAGTAACTCGATGAATTTGACAGAGTGAACATAATTATCTCACGGATTTTGAAACAAAGCAAATTGATTCATCAGTCATCTTACGTCTAACAACCCGGAGCTGTCATCCCAACATCGATAGCATTCTCGTCTTCTTCAACACATTCACATCTTCCCTCTCACTAGCCAACACCATCCTTTGCTCAACCCCTCAAAGTCCCAAAGCAGAGTTGAAAGCATCAGCAGCAGCCTGCCCCTTCAGCCCCTTAGAAGCCGCCTCGCCCTGCTGACAAGCCGCAACAGCAGCCTCATCCGCTTGACACCGGCTCTCCAACTGCCCGCAAATGAACCCCGAAATCACACCAATGTTCAACGCACTGCCGTGCTCAAAGTCGCCAGCGGGGGCAAACGAAGCCTCCTTGCGCCCATCAAGACCCTCAGCAAACTCAATACTCGGGTCCTGGCACTCGCCAAACTCAAACGCCTGGCGACCCTTCAACAGCGCCGTCGTCGCGATCCTCATCCTCCTCGCACCGCGCGCGTTCAGACCCGACGCGCGGCGGAGCTTCGTCTGCGACGAGGCCGCGAGGCAGTCGTCTTCCTGCGCGTCGCAGTCTGAGACGGAGATGTCACCTGATCCAGAGTTCGCGGCGTTTGCGCAGGCGTTGTGCTGGACTGCGCAGGAGCGCTGGAGGGCCGCGCCGGCGTTGAGGAAGGTTGCGCCGTTGACGGAGAAGGGCTTGTCTGCCGACGGATCCGAGGTCACAGGCGGGGCGGGGCCGCCGAGGGTGCCGGTGAAGGTTTGGACGTTTGTCGTGCCTGTGGCTGCGTCGGCGGTGCTGTTGTTGGCGTTGGCGTCGGCATTGTTGTTGTTCTTGTTCTTGTTCTTGGACTGGCGACGGGTCATCTCGGAAGCGGAGGCGCCGGTGCCCTTAAAATCGCGCTGGGAGAGGATGGTACGGCTCAGGACGCTTTTGTTGCGCGAGCGGCTTGCTTTACCGGTTGAGTTGGCTCCGCCGGATTTGGCGTTGCCGGCACCTCCAGCAACAGCGGCATCAATCTCCTCTGGGGTGGCGTCCTTGACAATGAGGTTCTGGCTAAAGATGCATCCCTCCGTATCATTGGCATCGTCGCAGGTGTTACCGGCTCCGGTGTTATCGTTGACCTGTCTACACATTAATCTTCTTATCCTATGAGCTTGCACCGTATCGTTGGAAACGACTTACATCACCAGGCTCGAAGGTACCAGCATCAAGCGCAAGCTGCGGATCAGCCCCGATAGCAGAAAGCTGCTTAGCAAGCTCAAGTGTAATAGCCTTATTCGTCTTAGCTGCCCCATCCGAAGCCGGATCCTGATGCTGGCTCAGCGCCGCAATCTCGGGGTTCGCGGCCGTCTCGCTGCACAGCACGCTCTTGAGCCCGACTTTGCCCGTGTTACGCTCCACGGCGCGGAAGACGAGCGCGCTCGCCATGCCGTCGACGTCGCCCGCCGCCTTGGCCGTGGTGAAGGCCGAGTCGGCCGTCGTCTGGTGCAGGCAGTCGAGGTTGGTCACGTCGCCCGCGCCCGCGGCGGCGGCGGCGTTGCCGAGGAGCCCAAAGACTGCGTCTTGGATGTTGTTTGGGTTGTCTTGTTTGAGGAGGGCGTTGACGGCGCGGAGGTACTTCTCGTGGGAGTGTTCTTGGGGCACTTCTGCGGAGGCGAACGCGACGAGGGCCGCGAGGGCGGTGGAGGTTTGGAACTTCATTGTTACGAAAGGTTTCGAAAGTAGACTCTCGTTTTCAGGTTTTGTTCGAGAAGGTAGAGTGTATACTAAAGATCTAAAATGTTCAAAAGAAGGGCCGGCCCAAGAGAACACTAAATGGACAAAGAGCCTAGAAGAAATGAAAAGAATGAAGATTTGATAGAGATACAGAAAGTTTCCAGAACTGAAACGAAAGAGAAGGAAAACGGTGATGGCTTGAAAGACAGAAAACAATATCTCTCTTCAACCGTTGAGCAAGAAGGACATGCGCCGAGTTATATACAACATACTCGCGGCAACCCCATCATCTACACCAGGGGAGGGGTGGACAAGTCTCAGAGCCCACCAACATCTTGGGTTCGTCTCATGGCCGCGACGTTGAATCCTTCCCCTGAGGAACCCGCTTGGGAAAACCAACGCGTCGATCAACGCAACGTTGGTACGGTTGACTCTGCCGGGCTCGATGATGCGGCCTTGCTTGGCAGAATCGTCAACAAGAGAACCCAGAACGGAGGCGCTGGGGTGGAGTAAGGGGAACCGTCGGCTGGACTGCCCTCCGATATGGTTTGGCCACGACAGTGAATAGACTGGGGATAGGAGACGTGGCGACCGTTCGACGTGTGCGAGCCAAGAGTTCATCCCGTTCCGGAGAGACGGGGCGGCGTGCCATGCGGCTCATGGTCCATGGTAGTGTACGGCTCGATCTGTTTCGGGAACTGGGCCGAGACTCGAGTAGGACTGTTGCGTAGAGATGACGGGACTGTCGAAGAGAATTGGCAAGGGTAGAGGAGATAAGAATAACCGGGCCTCATTCTCTGCGACGGTCTTGGTGGAGGCAACTCAACGAATGCTATTGATATTGCTGACCAGGTCTCGATCCGACTCAAGCTGGAGGATGCGCTCGAGCACATCGGCCGTCGTGATAGAATTTCTCCCTCTGCCGAAAACCGCATGACCAAATCCATCACTCGATGAATTTCGGTACCGCACTTCCGAACAACCTCACTCGGCATCTGCCTCTGCCATAACCAATATCAAACTCAAAAGGAGCCTCATCGCCAGATCGTCGTCCAAGAGATGGTCCCGGCTGCCCCCAATCGGCCTCCACCGACCCCCTGTCCTTGGAGGGGGATGCTGAAGTTGAGCAGAGTTTGAGGATCTTGCAAATCAGACGGCACCCGTCGCGGAACAGCGTCTCATCCACTCTTTTCCTGCCGTCTTTCTGCGTGGCCTCATTGGCTCGACCACGTTCTGTTTGGCAGAGGTGTGGGGACTCGGAGCCACAGGGGCATGGGCCGGGGGTAACGGGCCCCCTCCTCCAACTTCAACCTGCCAACTTCTTCAACTTCTGTTGTTGTGAACCTTGCTCGCTTGCCAAGGTGATGAATTGTTATTGTTCTCTCGTCCAAGTCGGACTTTGCGACACCAAGATCGATCAACCACCTGCCGTCCCATGTTTTATCGTGGCCTGAACTTTGGCCGGCGCCTAGATCTGCCTTAGCTTAGTACTCTTTGCTATTAGACGGCATCATTGCCGGATGTTCTGTCCGATTAATGCCCAGCGAAAAGTGTCATCTCATCAAGCCGGCAAAATACGTCGATCTGTTTATGCCACCTGCTCTCAAGGTTCAACCGGACCAGAGTCAATGACCGATGGCGGCACCCGTGCCTTTGAAAGTTCGAATATGAAGCGGCCTTCCCTTTGCCTCGATTTCTAACTCCTGGGCTGTATACGACTTTAAGCGTCTGGCGAGAGAACCACCTCGTCGTATCTACCTCTTGAGCCATGATGCAAAACATGAATGCAGACGAATTTCCCTCTCCGCCGTCATGCCTTGTCAGTCCTTGCCGTGGTCACCGCATACCACAATAAAAGCCCAGCGTGAGCTTCCAGGTCAATGATCAGACAGTCATCCCACCCTCAACTGAGGGCAAGGCATTATTTATTATGCGCCGTACGATTTCCCGTCTCCGAAAATGCCCAGACCGCTATCTGCCGAAAAGGTGTGGCACCCATCCACGCGGGAACCGACTGTGCTATGTGATAACAGTCTCGATAGTGGGATGCCGGCTCTCAAACCAGTCACACCCGGGATCCTCGCTCCGAACCAACGCTGACTTGTCACATGAACACGGCCCAGTCTGATCGACCCCCCGTCACATTTGTTCCGAACCGTAAAATATCCAAACTCTCATAAGAAGAAGACCTCCGGGCTCCGGCCGGTCATTTGACGACTGCGACGTCGTCCACTTGATGCCGTCTCTGAATTTCGGTGCCGGGATATTGGTATTTCGAATCATGGTTTCGTGATTATTTCGGTGCCTCGGCTTCTTCTCTGATATCAGTTACCTGCAACATCACATTTACCTGGCCAACACCTGCATGTTGTAAAGTTGCGAAGACTTGCTTGTTCCTGGACGCTCATTGACTTTTGTACATTTGGCATTATTGCCCTAGGGACACGTCTAAGAAAAAAGAAAATGGACACCTCTCTCTCGTCTTGTAGGAACCCAAACCAGCACCAGCTCGGTCTCCGATGCAAAAGAAAATGTTGTTCTAGTAGTTTGTTGTTGCCATCATTTCGGCCAAAAGCCCTCCCGCTTCCCTCGAAGGAGTGGAGGGGGGTTTCTGACCTCCTTTCGTACTCTCTCTCCCGCTGCCGTTCGTCTTAAATACTCATACAGGTGATCCCGCTTAACCAATGACCAGCTTGCCCTCCTCGGGGAAGTCGTACTCGGGGATCTCGAGGTTGAGGGGAGCGGGTCCCTTTCTGATACGGCCGGAAATATCGTAGTGGGAGCCGTGGCAGGGGCAGAACCAACCGCCAAAGTCACCGGCCTCGCCAATGGGGACACATCCCAAGTGTGTGCAGACACCTAGGAGACGAATTATTAGCTCACGTGCGCCGATTCGGGGGTTGTGTTTTGGTATGCGGTTGCTGAAGAGACTTTCGATCCTTCATCTCCAGCACTAACTGGCTGCCGAAAGGCCGCAATATCTCGCCACCAAAACAATTGAATCGATTGTCGTCAAAAGATACGTACCCAACATGATGAGCCATTCGGGGGTCTTGACACGGTCGTCGTCCTTCTGGGGGTCACGGAGGGAGGAAACGGAGACCTTGTTGGCCTCGTCGATCTCGGACTGGGTGCGGTGGCGGATGAAGACGGGCTTGCCTCTCCACTTGATAATGACCTGTCGTCCAGAAATATCAGTACGGCCGTCTCAATGTTGCGTGCCGCCGCTCGGCTTTTTCAATCGGGCCAACTCACGTTCTTGCCCTCGGGGATGGTGCTGAGGTCAACCTCAACCTTGGCCATGGCCAAAACGTCGGCGGAAGCGGACATGTTGACGAGGAATTCTGCAATTGACACCGGTCCGTCAGCCATTGTTTCTTTTTGGTACTGTTTCCCGTCCATTCCGTGATCCCATGCCGTATTTCGAAATCTCGATTTCGGTGTCTGTGGTTTTCCTCGGGGCTACGGATGGAAGTATTCCCTACCCTGGACGGTGGACTTCGCGCCGGCGGCGGTGATGGCGCCCATGGTGCCGACCATGAAGTATCCGAAAAGCTGGTTGGTGCCGGCAGAGCCCTTGCTCATGTACTTGCTGAAGTCGGGGATGCTGCTGCCCTTCTGGGCGCCCTTGAAGGGGCTCGAGTAGCTCGTGGCGGTCGAGTCGTTCCGGGCGGCCGAGGTGCTGAGCGCGCGCGCAGCCGTCGACGGGCTGGTGCGCGCGATTTGCCGCAGGCAGGTGCGGGAAACGTGTGCGAGGGGCGCCATCTCGTAAATCGGAGGAGGAGAGGAGAGGGTTTGCGGCGGCAAGAGGTTGTTGCGAAATGCAATTGGGGAGAGGGATGACGTTTAGTAGGAGAGCGTCTTTTTTCGTGATGCCCGTGGTTTGAGGATTGCCGAAAGCTTTCTGGCTGGTCGCCTCAGGCAGAAGGTTCTGAAATTGGTGCTTGTTGATTGGTTGGTGGGTGCAGCTGGGACCCGGCCCTTTCCGGAGTGGCACGAGTGATGACTGCGACGATGTGGATAGATGCAAATCCCCCATTAGGAAGATCAACATGGAGACAAATTTCTATCTTGTTCATCCCCAGATAGTGGATTACGATTTGTATGTCTTCCACAACATCAATTTGTGAGGCAAGAGGATAGAACCTCTGCCACCACCCAGGAAATGTCTTGCTTTGCACTGTCTTTACTTTTAGCCGTGGGCGTCATTCATTTCAGGTCCATTCGCCCAACTCCATGTTTCTAAATATCCTACATCATCCTATGCTGCTTTAATGCATGCGCTTCAACTCTTCTACCAAGTTGCGCATATTCTCAACCGTCGGCCCAAGTCCTGCAACGACGGCCTCCTGTTTAGCCTCATCCAAGTCTAAAAACCGCTCAATCAGCTCCCCATCGACAAAGCGGAAGGGCGCATCTGCCGCGCGCTTTGCGTTCCGGAAACCTCGCCATGACATAAATGAGAGCCCGGCACCCGGCGCATTGTCAGCTTGACCCAGTGTCTTGACCACTCCGGCCAAGTTCTCTTGAAATTGCAATAGTAGACTTTGGTGCTCTGGCCTGATGTCGGCAAAGACATACACCGATCCTTCAACCTAGGCAAATGTTAGCAACCGTTTAGCATGGCCGGGTGAAAGTCCACTTACTGTTGCGAGGAACGCCTTTGGCACGATCGGGTCGTTCCCATTCGGAACAATGTCGAGTGATCGAATCTTGTTCACTTGCTCTCCGAGGTGGAATTCACTAATGACTTCCATCTGCTTCTGGTCATGCTCTGTCGGCGCGTTGGGGTTCCTCCGTAGTACCATGAGATTGCCTTGCGCATCGGACTCGAGCCACGAATGCTCTTCCAAGTGACATACTGACGTGGCCCAAATGTACTGAAAGTGACGAGCGCGCTCTACAAGCTTGGCTTTGTCCCCATCTTGTGCCGGGATGAACTCGACTAGGGTCATCGACTGCATGAGATCGGCGACCCCAATCATGTTGCCATTGACATCAATGTCAACCGGGAATGTTGAAGGGCGGAAAGTAGCCAGCTTGCGGAGTGCTCCAGATGTGCTCGACTCTTCGGCGTAGTCGTAGACCACTACCGTCTTGCTTAATCCAGCGACAATCTTGTCGCCCATCACTCCAAGACTGCGACACGCGCCCTTAAGCGCGTGGCTGACTATCAAATAGGGGTTCTTGTCAGAATCAACGCCTAACACCAGAATCCGACCCTTGATATCGCTGTTCTCATCAACCTCCGGGTCTGCCAGATAACTTGTTCCGATAATGAATCGTTCGGCAGGCTGCCCCATACTGTCGGGCAACTCTGCTCTGATGACGCTTTCGACCATTTCGGCTGATGTGGAGCCATCCAGGTGGAATGCCTTGCCAACAACGCCAAGAACCACCTCGTCGACCAGCTGGAATGAGCTTGATACCGCCTCTTCATTGTTGATGAGTTCTCTTCGAATGGTGCCTATGCCAAAAGCACGGAGTGCTGGCGAATAAGCCACTCTTCGAACCGTCTCGCGTAGAGGAAGGGGGTTGACATGCGTTCTCCTTTCCGCATCGATGTGGGCGATCCGTACGTTACGATCCGTGGCGAGGAAGATGGCATCTGGGAAGGCTTCAGAGTCGAAGGGGGCGATATAGGTCACGTCTTCTGCAGTTGCCGCCGAGTAGATGATTCTTCCTTCTGAGCTGTAGATCAGACTAGAGTGCTCGGTCGTAGCAAATACATTGTTGATGCCTTCGTCGTCTGGTCTTGGAAGAACGTGTAGCCCAGCTTGTTTGCTACCCAAGGTGACGCTTTTGCGACTTGACAAGGAGAAGTCATCTTTCGACACGTTGAACGACACAACCTGACCATCTTCCATAGCGACGAACAGCGTTGGGCCGAGAAGGTGTGGTGGGTGCAATTGCACAAGAACCATGTCTCTAGGAACCGAGACGCTGTCATCGGTTTGCTTGATGGTTTCACCCTGAAGGGCGTTGAGCGTGCGGAGGTCAATTATGGACACAGAACCCGTTGCCCAGAAACCTACCACGCCAACATGGTCGAGATCGCTGGCTGCATGTACGCAAGAAATTTGGTCTTCCTCGCCCCCAACGCCGCGGCCCAAGATTTGCTCTTGAGCTGCCAAGTTATCGACCAAGTTCAATGATACCAGAGAGGTGCCGTTGATAGACAGCAAAACCCATTTGCTGTTGGCAGAGGCATTGACAATGGTCTTGCCATCTGGTACCGACCAACTGTTCAGAGTAACGCCGCTCTCCAGATCGAGCAGAGTCACGATTGCTGCGGTGACCTGAAGTAATTGACCACTGGGCAATGTTTTTGCGATTAGAGTAGGCTGGTCCAGATTGAGCCCGTGAAACTCAAACACTTCTTCAATACCACCCTCGGCATCAAAGCTGAAAACTCTGGTTTCCGTCATGAAGGAAACCACGAGAGTGTCAACTTTTTCAGAGCCGTGCGACTGTAGACTGAAGAGACCTCGGGCATCCTGCAGGTCTTCCAGAACACCAATATCTTCCAGTCCGACACTGCTTCGAATACTCCGTAGACTGCCGTTTTGATGGACACCACAGCCGGCGACGATGCGAGCTTGGCCTGACGAGAAGGCGTTGCCAATCTGGCTGTCTCCAGCGTTTCCCAAATCCATGATGGCGAAGTCGAGAATAGGTGCAATGTTGGGAATGGTCTGCACAAGCTTCGTCGACAATTCTTCGAGATTCACCTGTAGTAGTTGCGAGTCGCCGTAGTGAGAGCCCAGGAAAAGCATGCCGTCTCCCATATACACTAGACACGATGCGCGAGACGTTACTCCAAGTGTTCTGACAGTCATTCCGAGAACAACAACACCCTCGGTCTCAATCGTCAGAAGGTGAAGATTGCCATAGTCATCAGAAAGGAAAAAGTTTGTGTCATCATAGGCAGCCCATGCCACGAATATGGCGGGACTTGCCATTGGACTTTCCACGACAGACTGCGTCAAGGTATCGACGTAAACCAGTAGAGTTTCGCCAACTACAATCAAGCCACCCAGTTGTGCCTTGGCCGCTGAAGTGTCCCTTTTGTGGTATCGCTTAACTTCATCCTCGATGATGTTCACAGGAATGAGGATACGGGCATAAGGATCCTTGATCTCGATGTCGAGGTCTCTATTGCGTTCTGGATCGAACCTCGAGACAGCTGTGTTCTTATCGTCCGTCATAAGTCTGTATATGGCGAGTCGCGCGTCCTCTTTATCGATCTTGGACTGGTACAAGAAGGCAACGGTGGGATGACCAGTCTCGGTGGGCACAAAGATGCTCGCCTTCATGAAGAGCTCGGAGAGGCGGACTTGTTCCCATGCATCGTCAAGGCGAGCGAGCTGTCCTTTCCTAGTTCCCAAGCGCATGACGTTCATGACACCCTCCCATAAGTGCATAGCCATGAACCTGCCTGTCGGATCGACTAGGCACTTGTCCTGGCTCTGAGCTTCGCGCATGTGAGGCTCGGCGGTATCCTCGACGACCTGCTCCGTGTGTAGCCTCTGTGTGGCAGAGTCCCATCTCGCCGTAAAGTATTGAAATCGATCGGTACCGACGAAGAGCAGGTCAGCTTTACTGTCCCTGGGTCGCAGGCGCTGGAGGAGGAGGATGGTGCCGTAGACTGCGGCAGAGCCGAGCAAGTACATATCGGTGGGCGTGATGCGCCATACTTCGAGTCTGTTTGATCGTCTTGGAGCTTGTCAGTATGAGGCGATAAAAGTCCAAGTTCGCCTCTCTTCTTGGGTACGGCAAGCTGAAAATGGGTAAAAGGTGAAGGTAGGGAGGGGCAGTACGGCAGGGGAGCAGACTCACGCTACCACCAAGCTCTCGCTTTCATCTTCCTCAGACAGGCGTATCCTGATGGCCTGGCGTATGCTGCTTGGTCTATGGATGGGCGCGATATACGACATGGTGCCGGTCTGTGAGGTGTGAGCTGCAGCTATGTCAGGTAGGAGCTCTGATCCCACGCGATGGCAGCCATGGACAAAAGAGACGTCGTGGGGGAAGAGTTTCGATTCAGTCGGTGCTCTTCCTGACGTCGGAGTTTAGCAGTGCAGGTCCGGGCCCCTCCAAAGCAGCAGTGAACGGCAGGTTCGATTTCATCATCAATTCCAGCGCTGACAGCGAGAGGGAGGTGGGGCCGTGAGCTTCGGCAGCCCGTAGGTGCAGGGGCCACATGCCGCCCGACCTTCCAATGTCTGTCACCGCAGTCCTGCACCTCACTAAAAAGAACTTTGGGCAACCTGAGATGGAAGACGGGAGTCTGGCGAGGTGTTTCTTATGTAATCCACACTGTCCGGCTACCCGGACAAAGTATCGAGCCGGACAGTGAACTTCACAGTGTTTCCGCCGACGAGAGGTCCCTGCACGTTCTATCGGGGAGGCCCAGCAGGGCTGCAGTGTGCATTTGTTTCTTCAGAACAGCAAATTAATACCTTAAACTACGGATGTGTCGCTCTCCGGCCAACCTTGCCTATCAAACGACCCTCTTCGGACTTTATCATAATTCCATAAGATCACAATCAGGAAGAACTCAATCTCGAGCCGCCGTTGGTTCATCCCCTCCATCTGAGATGTCCAATATCGGATATTCACCGTTCGACCGGCCGCTCATGGACATCGTCGATTGGGAAGCTCCCAGAGCATCGCCCAGTTGATGTGAGGCTGCTCCAAGCCATACTGGCTAAAGTCAATCAGGTACTCATCGATATCCTTGAACCCAACCTTTTGGTACAGATGATGGCCAGCTCTTGAAGACTCGAGATAGGCCGGAACGCCCAATCGAACAGCTTCCTGCACTATGGGTGTCATCAACTGCCACCCTGCTCCACGTCTTTGGTGCTTTGGGTCCGTCACCAAGATATGCAGATCTGTCGTCTGCGTTAGCTGTCATTCACAACCGCCACACACGCATCAAACGTGCCATATCCACCACTTACAGACGACCTTCTTGCCACCCATCAAACGCTGGCGCATCTCGTCCAAGCCATGGAACAGTTTGTTACACGCCTCCTCGTTACAGCCAGGTCCCCAGACACGTGGTTTTGGCACCGGCAACCCCTCCGCGTACGCATTCCACTTGCTCCAAGCAATGATCGCCTCGTCGCCAGAGAGATCCGTGTCCACCGCTTTGTGGAAGCGCACGGTTGTGTCCTCTCGAAACTGTTTGGCCAGTTCTTCAGCTCGAATCCCCATGATATCCTCCGGCATGGGTCCGGGGAATAGGACTGGATCAAGTGGGCTCCCCGAGAACGCCAGTTTCTCGATCTCGGCGCACCGCCGAAGATCACTCTCCAACACCGGCTGAATTTCGATTGGCATGTTTTCTGAATGTGCTGCGCTTCCGAATAGTCTTTATTGAAGGTTGAGCGACGTACTCGAACTTTTTGTCGCGGAGAAGACTTCACCTTTACTTGTACACCTGTACAGACCATGCCGGGTGCCTATTATGCGGGGTTCTTCGGCGTGGGGTCCCTATCCAGGTCTCGGCTCGGAAACCAATCGGTCTGACTCATCAAAGGATTCGTGTTGTTTTTCGTCACCCTATAGATCAGTCTCTCGGTGACCGTCTAGGAAGCTCGTCATCGAGGGATCGTTTCCTGCATGCATCATGCGCAAAATGGGACATCTCAACAAGAATACGCAAGGTGGCAAACTGTCAGAATTTGTCATTTCTGGCAGCTGCAGAAGGGATATGCAACGCTTATATGCAACTCCATTTTAGCCTCAAGGTTTGTCCTTAGCACCCTTGAAGACTTATTTCACCGGGGAAATGTTGAAGCCATGATCGCTCATGTGACAGTGAGAGGCTATTAGATGGGACCGGCGGCGTGCTATTTCTCACCAGAAGGACAGCACATGGTCTGATTAAACACTGGATTCATGGTTCGTCGTTTATGGATCATGGATGACGGTTGACATGTTCATGCTAAGCTAATGAAGCTTTGATTCTTAGGCAGGGACCGGAAAGCTATGTCCATCAAGCAGCTATGTCGTTTTCGTGTCGTGGACCCAGACGTTGACCACCAAATTTACGTACGGAGCTATCCAGCCATGATAGTAGAGCCTCATTCAAGGAGTTTGCGGGGACGTCCCGCCGACGTCAAAAAGTTCGGATATTCTTGATGCACAACCAATGGGCTTGGAAAGCGGAGAGATCTTGTCGGCCGGGGATGAGGAGGCGCAGCGATACATGCGCCCATCACCAGATTCATCGGCAGCATTCGTCAAAATCGTTCAAAATCGTATGTCCACGAAACACGTCCGAGCATTCACCTTGCGTCCCCGGTCGACTGGCATTGGCCACATTTCGACAACAGCTTGGTGTCTCTTGTCGTTCGTCTCAAGTATGTGGCACTTGACGGCTGCGTCCCGGAGTGTCTCCTCTTGAGGCCCTTGAGAGCCTCCCCGAGCTCCACAGGCCTCGATGTCGTCGCCGCTGTCGACATGGTGCGGTCCGTTTCATGGCTCCTGCAGCCCAGCTGTCGCCGCGGCGCCAGGACCTCATCCCTGTTGCATCGGGACCTTGCCTTCCCTTCCTGCACCGAGTTGCGCGCACGGGTCAGGGGTTTCTTAGCCACAGAAGCTTAATCCTCCTTTCGGCCGCCGGTTCACGATCGTTTAGCTGTCTTGTACCTGTCAGACTGTCAAAAGTGGGTAATGGCTGCAGACCAGTACTTCCCGGCCGAGAATCACGGACGTCAACACAGACCTTTGTGGTCTGTATCCAGAGGATCCTTGCGTCGGGGACGCAGATGCTGGAGTCGCGAAGGCTGCTTCCCAGCCTGGAGACAGCGTTCTCAGGTTGTGAGCTACTGCAAGCTCAAGGATCGTTAACTTCCTCACGGTACGGATGTGTCTCACGGTTTCACGTTCCAGGCGCAGACGGGAGCCAACGAAGGTCCATCCTCCCATCTTGGTCCTGGATGTGATCTGGGCTTCAATCACCACAGACTGGTTGACCAAAGCTTATAAAACTGTTCGGTATCCCACCGGAAGAGAACGTCTTTTTGGAGCATCAGACAAGGATCTTAAGAACAATAGCTTGGTTATTCCCAAAGCCTCAATACTTTCTTCGAAAACCTTCAGACCCTTCGTCTGTTATCTTCACATCAAAATGGTTACCATGCGCCTGACCCTTGCTCTCTTCGCCCAGGCGGCCATCATTACTGCCGTACCTCTCCAGCCTATCCGAATCATCCAGATCGAGGAGAGAGCTGCAGGTGATCTTGACACCATTGAGCGTGCTCTGGCTCCCGTCTCCGAATCACTTGCCAACGTCGATGCTGCAGTCCTCTCTTTGGATGGAGGCCCAGTCACGGCAAACAACCTCCTCATCTTCTCTCAGCAAGCTCAGGTGGCTACCGACCAGGCCACAGTCGACATACAGTCTGCGGGTGACCTTAGTGCCTTCAGAGCTGCCAGGCTTCGCCGCACTACCGACGCTCTCATCGATCAGACGACTGTCACTGTCAACGACCTAGTCTCCCGCAAGCCTGTTCTTGACAACCTTGGCGTCAGTGGTGTTGCATTGGAGTCCCTCCAGAGGCAGAAGATTTCCAGCATGGCATTGACTGCCGCGCTTGAGGAAAAGGTTCCCAGAGTCGGGCAGAGAATCGCAGCTGAGGGCAGGGCTCAGATCGAGTCCGTGATGGATCAGGCAATCGCAATCTACTCTGAGCCCGCCGTCGCTGCTGTCCCGGCTGTTGCTCCTCCTCCTGCTACGCCTGCCAACCCCAACGCCATCCCTATCGCAGTTCCTCCTGCCGCTGCTCCTCCTGCCGCTGCTGTTCCTGCACCCCCGGCCGCTGTCCCTGCTCCTCCTGCAGCTGCTCCGGCCCCTCCTGCAGCTGCTCCGGCCCCTCCTGCTGCCGCGCCAGCATGGCCCGATCAAGCTCCTCAACCTCCTGCCGCCGCCGTCCCGGCTGCTGACCCCAACGGTGCTGTTCCTCAGGCTGGAACTCCTGCTCCCGTTGCGGCTCCTCAGCCGGCGCCCGCAGTCGCTGCTCCTCCCGCTGTTGCCCCCGCTCCTGCTCCTGCGGTCCCCGTCGCTACAGTTCCCCTGGTAGCCCCCGTTCCGCCTCCCCAGATCACACCTGTTTCCGGCCGCAAGGCCCTCAAGGACAAGAAGAAGAAGGCGTCAAGAATCAACGCGGTTGAGGTCGAGGGCGAGACTGCTGAGCAGTAAGCGCATCTATCAGTGATGATTATGAATTGGAGTTTCAAGGTACCACAGGCGCAGGAATTGGATTGAATGGGTTTACTTCAGAATGCTATAATATCATCAAAAATAGAATGATCTAATGCATATTAATGCACATCACAAATGTTTGCTTGAGAAAGCATATTCATCACTCAGTGAAAGCCTCATAGAGTCATAGACCAATTGCGCGTGGTCTCGACTCTCCCAGCCCTGCCACCCTAGACAAACTAGCTATACGTGAAAGTAAGCTAAGAGCGCAGGGAAGTGCAAGATTGAGACTGAGCGTACATAAAGTTCGATGCCATTGACTGGGCAGATGCTACCCTGCTGCAAAACACGACTCTGCAGATCACAACAGCGCCATACATAAAACACACAAACAATTTCAATTGTGCAGCAGCAGAAGCAGCAGCGCGGCGCTAATGCAGGAGCTCAGCGACGCTAGAGATTATCGTGACTAGTTCCTCGCGGATTTTCGCGACGGATGGCTCCGCGTCGACGACGGTCAGCTTTTTTGCGTTTGCGGAAGTCGTCTACCACAAGGGAGGTTGTGGTTTCGAAGGTGAGGAAGCGGTTTCGGATTGCTTGCACCTGGTCGTCGAATCGGCCGCGGGGGAGGAGACGATGGAAGCTTGTTTCTGGAGAGCATTGCAGTGCGAGGAGGGGGGTTATGGGGCCGATGAGGGCTTGGAGTTGCGTTGATTGTTCTATTGATCTTGGGAGTCCTTTTGGTTTGGGTTTGGGTCACCTTCTGTGTTGGAGATTCCCGGGGGGTTGCAGAAGCAGCTTACCATCTAAAATGAACACTCTTGTGCCACCCTCCATCAACTTTGTGATTCGGTCTTTGAGAATAGCCATTGTGATTTCAATCGGACCTATTGTGCCTGCAAGCATGTTTGCTCTGATGATGTCTGCGTCGGGGCCTTCTTCCCCGCGTTCCATCTCCTCGCGGAGGACGTCGCCGATGCTGATGTGCGAGAGGTTGAATTTCTGAGAGAGGAGGCGGCATTGCGTGGCTTTGCCTGAGCAAGGTCGGCCTAGTATGCTGATCACGACAGGCACTGGGTTATTTGGTTCCGGTTGATGTTTTTCATGTGGTTCTTCCATAGTGTAGGTATCGTATGGGTTGGAGTTTCAGGGTAACATATTATTGATATTGAAAAGCTGAGAAAGCATCATCGCATCGAAAAAAAGACTACGAAAATTTGCAATTTGACGAATTGAAATCATCAAGGTTGTGGGGTTAATTCTTGATCAAAGAGGTTCAATTAAGGTTGTGTTGGTTTTCGTTTCTGTTGGTTTGGTGTTTTGTTGGTTCTCTCGTTTCGCGTGATGCAAATACCCATGCTTGCCACCTCTGGCCGGGCAGAACACGATTGAATATCATCTGGTTCAAGTCATATTCAATTTGGAGATGTGGCCCAAGCTATTTTGTCATTTCTTGTTGTCTCTTTCACGAGTTCCTTGATTTGTGTGGTTCAATGTCACCACACAGGAGGGTAGATGTTTGCTGGTGCAACCTCAAGTGAGGTTCGGGAGTTGACAAGATGACGGGGGTTTCCTAGGCGAACAACTGGGATGTCCGCTGCTCGCAGTGGTTGATGCAACGTGGGGGTTCGAATATTTCCCCTTCTGGGATCCCGCGGGCCCTCGGTTCCTCCTCGAACCACGGGAACCTCAAAACAACGGGCAGTCAAAAACTCGAGTCCCCTCTTATCGCCAACCACGCATGAACCGGCCCATAATTAAGGCTTGTGTTAAGTGCAGGTTAGGCGCCAGTTGAATATGTGTTTCAACGACGAATAATCGTGATGGGTAAACGGCATCAGGCTCTGTTGCGTTGATGCCTAGGGAGGGATGATTACTTAAGCTCTAAGGTGACGGTCGGGAGAAATCCGAAGGCCCGGGAGCAGGCTAGCGCACGGATACAACATTCACAATAGTGTCGTTTTTTGTTTTTTTCATAAAAGATATCACCGACAGAACATTGCTTTTGTACGCCCCGGGAATGAAACTCGAACGTTGGAAACCGAGCACGATCAGCTGAGTGAGATCGAGCCCAATCAACCATTTTCCTGGACAAATACCCCTCAAATGAACAATGGGATTACCCAGTGGTCACAATACCAAGCATGTAATCTGGCCTGAGGTCCACGTCATCTGGACTTTTGAACTCCAAAGTCCCCTTTCCTTGGCCGGAGATCCATCTTGGACGGAGTTCCAGACCTCGTCATAACGCCGGTCCACGATGCTTTACATATGCAACAGGACTAGATGGGAATAAGTTCGAACTCTTGGCTACACACACCAACTCCAAAGTACTCCAAAGTTCTCCAAATCACTTCAATATCATTGGAGATGAGTACGCAGCCCCGTTTGCCCCCGTATCCTCCTCACCGGTTGAAAAAGGGGGCAAAAGGAAAGGAAGGAAAAAGCAAACCAGATTGTACGGTTTACCAGAAACGAACAATATGACGCCGAGTGGCTTTTTCCCGACACTTTTGCTGAATCCCCGATGGGGCCCTTGGCTGTCGTGACCCTTGACTGCATCCGGGGTCCCGGTCCAACGAGGGTCCCTTTCACTCCTTATCAATTATCTCATCGTCAAAGCTCAACGCTCAACTGCCGTTCAGCCCCTTTCCCGAGAACAGCCAGCTGAGCTCCCAGCCCAGGGAAAAAATTAACGGGATACGGGATCGGCACGCACGACTCGACCTGACATTTCCCTTTCCCTCCCTTCCCACCCCAGTTCTTCAAAGCGCCACTGCCCACTATGAGGCCCTCGCGCCCAAGCGAGATGATGGCATGCCATCAGATTCATAAAATCCCACGAGGACCGTAGGCCCCGGTACCGAAGCTAGACAGGCCCCCTTCGAAGCGCTCTTTAAAGTTCCTGAGCCGCCGTCCCGGGACTACTACATCTCAGGGCCAGTTCCCAATCCCACATGTTGATCACCTTCCCTTTTACTCCTTCATACATCGCACTCTTCTCATACTAAGAAGGACTTGCGACTGACAAAGATGGGTCTCATTTCACAACTGTACAGCCTTCGTTGGCTCTTTGCGGCGATCTTGGTAGCTGTGTACGTCGGCCAGAAGATCAGGACGTATAATCGACTCCGAGCGTTCAAGGGCCCGGTCCTGTGCGGCTGGACGGAGGCGTGGCATGCCTGGGCGATTCTGACTTTCAAGTCTCACCTGAAGTACGATGAAGTATGCAGGAAATACGGTGAGCCTCTCTTCCTTCCCATCCGTTAGGGTTTCTACCCCAAGTCCTCTTCACCGTCTTCTTCCTTACAAGCGTCGTGATCGGCCATGCTGCCAAGTTCACGACATGGCCCGAGCTGAACATGAAGGAAAGCCCAATGCTGAACCCATCCTCTTAGGGACGATCGCTCGCGTCGGGCCGAACGACCTGATCACTTCTTCGCCCGAGCTTCTCGTCTACATGAGCGGCATCCGGTCGCCGTACACGCGAACGGAGTGGTACTACCGCGCGTGCCGGCACATGTCAGAGAACGATCATGTCTTTAGTGAGATGGACGAAGAGAAGCACAGGGTGCTGAGGCAACGGATGGGAGCCGGGGTACGTTTTTGACGATCTTCACTTACCTAGTCTGATACGGACCATGCCAGTACTGACGAAACCACCATCAAAGTATTCTGGAAAAGAGAACTTGGCGCTGGAGGACTCGGTCGACACACACGTGTC